GTTTATCGCTTTTATTTCTGCTGTATTTCTCTTTGTTGGCTTGTTCCCATATGTATATGCTTCTTCCCATATGTATATGCTTCTTGAGTCTCCTATCCATTTATTCTCTCTGTTTGTAATTCATTGATGTTGCCATTTTGTGAGCCATCTCCTGATGCCTTCCTGGCTGAGGCCAGTAGAGATTGGACCATGGCCCCTCTGGGCAGGTGCAGGGACTCAGGGAACAGGCACAGGCATGGCAGCTGCAAGACCCTGTCCAAAGCCTCTGTAACTGTGTCTTTTTCTGAAGGTCTATGAGGAGGAAGCTTTTTGTGGATCACCCATRTCTCTTCAATGTCATGGGCATTTGTATCCCAAAGGGTGCCACTTTATTGTTCTGGACACTTGYATCTTGACAAAGGTCTGGACCTTTGCAGCTGCATTCAGTGAAGCTGGGCCCATGACTCATTGAGAAACTCTTGCTCCTGGCAAGTCTTTCACTGGTTTTGTTGACTTCCTCCAGCAACTTTGACTTCACAGCCTATTTTGTTGTTGTCAGAATCATTCATTAGCATTTTCCTTCCCACTGTGAAGATATATATACAGATGTCCTTTCATTGCTTCTTGCATGTGAACATATTCGGGTACTTCTTGAAAAGGGACTTTATGTATTTATATATCAAGGTCATTGTGGTGCAAGTGTTTACTTGAGTGCTCCATGTCCATGGCTGCTGCTTTATTTATATACAGGGCTACATTAGTGCATCTCTGGAATCGTGAGGAACTTGGGCTTCTTCTGCCACTTAAACTTGTGAAATAATCAACAGAGCAAGAGTTGCTCATGACAGCCCAGAAAGAAATGAAAATCCTGTGGAATTTTGTTAGAGGCTGTCTATGTAATGGTGTGATCAAACTGCAAACAGCTGCAGTGGTCTGGCTGAAGAGCAGAATATTTTTACTTCATGGTGTGTGCAAGGCACTGTGGGACAGCTTATCCACTCCTGCTCCCCTGGGAGTGGAGTGAGCTCCTTCCTGCCACCAACAGGCATCACACTAAGAGGGTCAGGTGACCCTCTTGAGACATAGCAGTGGCATTCCTGACTCAGAGATTACAGACTACAGCTCCTATTCGGCTGTGTAGAGAGACCACCACACTAAAAAAAAAAAAAAAAATCCCTAAACTTCTAAATCACTCCTCAATTGATGTTACTTCATGCAGAGGTTGCTTTTATAGCTCCTGGGATCCAATGTCATCATTACACAGGTGGCAGGAGGAACATTAGCCCAAACACTAGATATTTTGTTTCTTTGTGGTTCTATTTGCCTCCTAGCTTGTAGCATTGTGCTCAGATATGAGATATTGCTAGATACTTAATTTTAAATAGAAGCTGAGATAAAGATTAAGGTCCTGGGACTGCATTTAAGAAGAATCCCAAATATCATAAGATTTATCATGAGCTAGCAACACCGGGAAGGAAAGTATCTATCTGATAGGCTATAATAATGCATGGAACGCACAGAAATGCTGGGGGGCTTCAATGAATTACTTTCAACTTGTTTTACAAAATATAACATCTGAATTAGTGCACACATTTCATAACTGCTCATGTACAGATCAAGGCTTCTCACACTTTGCTCAGTCATACTTGGTGCTGAATACTGCATAAGTCGCACTGTCTACCTAGCATTGTAATGCTGAGGTTTGATATTTTGTTGGTAGGCCTCATACACAGAGACAGACTGAAGTGGGAAAGACAGAGGTCACAATGAGGTGCTTACTGGTGAAGCTTGCTGCCAGCAGAGTGGCTGGGGAGCACTGTCCAGCAGAGTCCTGGCTGGACAGTGGCACCAAAGTCCTACCCAGCAGCACCAGGAAGACAATGGGCTTGTAAAACCACATCATGAGATGCATGTGCATGTTGACAAAGTGTTCTTCTCCAATTGTTTCTGCACCCTTTCCCTACAATGCTATAACAAAAAAAAAAATATTTTGGATGGGGAGACCTCCGACTGCAGTAGCTGGGAGTTGCCAGCAGAACCAGTGGTGCAAAAACTTCTGCTGTGCAAACTAGTTCATGAGTAGAGAGGATGCTGAAGCCCTGTGCCTGAATTGGTGTGGCAATTGGGTGGAAAAGCCCAAGAAGAGGTAAAAGCAGGAAATTGGCACTGCCCATGTGTATATGTGTGGCTGGATTGCTGGGAAGCACAGGATGCAAACCATAACAGTGTGGCCCCAGTGATATGTGGACTCCTGAGACCAGCTGGAATAAACTGATGATTGTAATGACTGAACAGGGAATTCCTTCTGGGAAACACATCCTTGACCTTATTATGCAGTGTTTGAGGGCTTGTAGAATCCCAGCTGAATCTGCTGGGTGTGAGCCAAGAATTGCTGTTTGTATGATGTCCTATATGTTACAATGACCAGTTAATATTTTATTAAAGGTGAGCTGCCAGTGTCTGAGATGGAGGGATGAGGATGTTTACTGCCCGGCAGCRCTGAGACCGGGCTCACTCTGTTACACAGTTGCAGGGTACAATGTAGCTCCAAGGCCAGGGCTGCTGGGCACAGCCAGAGCAATATGGGACAGCCAGGGAGGAGCAGCCAAAAGCCTGGAGCCTCTGGGAATTAAAGATAGGGCTCATGTTTAGCATCACTGTTTTCATGTAGTCATAAAAAGAAATGTTTGTAGCATTTTAGGGTCTGAGCAGGAATACTGGCTCCACTGGAATCAGCAGCATAACTCCCCCTGAATTCCATACAGACAAGATTTAACTCTGCAAAGGCACTCGGGGTTATTGATTTCCTTTCTGTGATTGTCTTTGCTAGAACCACAAACATCAGTCACATGCATTAAACAGGGATAGATAAAAAAGGAAAACTGAAAACACAAAAGGAAAGTCTGCAGCTCCATCTAGGATAAATTGTTCCTATTAATATATTTTCTTCCCATCTCTCATCTGAATTAGGACAAACAAAGAATTCTCTGAGACGCAATTTATGTAATAGCACGAAACCCAAAATGCTAGTTTTTACTGAGAATTCTTGATCCAGCATTTTCTATCAACTCCACTAAAAGGAAATCAATGTCTTCAGTTTGGATTTTTCCCAAGGAATTTTCTTTCCCTGTCTGAAAGCATCTTGTGTTCACAAAAACACTAACARGTAAATGTAATCAGAATGGCACTGATTTATTTGACTAAATAACAAGCCTTGGGGAGACGTGCAGAACTTGATAGTTGGGGTTCACTTGTTTTTCTGTTGTTGTCTGGTTTATATCTTTATTTTAGGAAAGAAGAAAAAAACTCTGTATATCCCTGAAAGAGAGGGGGGAAAAGACCTTTCTTGAAGTGTGTTACTGTACCCCTGATCAGACTCAACACTTCTGCACAAGAGGCATGCTGCTTACCAGCCTTATCCTCTGAGCACCTCTCCCAGTTAACCTTCTCCCCTCTCTGTCTTTCTGGCAGAAGATGCTCAGATACCTTTGGGAGGGAGTGTTTGCAGGATGGYAGTGCAGAACTGCAGCCATGATGTGTTTGCCAGCATGCAACACCCAGCTCCAGCATGCCAGTGGCAACAGTGCTTGGCAGGCTGGCGGGGTGCACAAAAACATGCTGCTGCCTTTCAGCTCCAAAACAAGGGCTAAATCTCCTTCCAGACCGAGACAAAACTTGCTCTGGCTGGATTCTGGCAGCTCTGGAGAAAAGCCAGGTCCCAAGCAGGAGCAGTGCCAGCAGTGATGGGACTGATGGAGGCAGCAGCTGGTAGGCAAAGCCTGCAGGCAGGCCAGCTGGCAGCTCTGTGGTCATTATTTCCAGGATCTGTGGATCCTGGTCAAATAAAAGGGAAGCCTTCATCAGCTGAAGCATATCAGATGCTTTCTTTGGAAGGAGTGGATTTAGAGGCAGGAGACTGTGACCCCTGATAGTGATAGCAGCAGGTTTGTGCCCTGCCTCTCACTGGGCAAAAAACGATGGTTAGCTTTTGCTGCTGCACACTCCTTGCTGCCTGCAAGAAGCTAGCGAGCATTTCAGGTGGCAGGGGTGGTTTCAGTGGAGCAGCAGGTTCGTTTGAGGAGGTTTTAAGCCACTGCTGCAAGTGGTGCATTGAGTCATTAGGCTGCATCACACCCTCAAACACTCAAGTGATTTGATCAAATGCTGTTTTGATCAAATTATTGTAGTTCATCAAGCTGTCAGTGGGTGTTCAGTGAAGTGCTATTTAACTATTCAGAAAGTGTCACTGTAAGTTGYATGTGCCAGTAACTAATACATGTGTCATAAATGTGTTGTTTTATGAAAATGGTTGTCATTTGAAATCTATACTGTTTCTGATTTCTCATTGTAGGCAGCTAGACCAAAAACTTTAAAACAAACCTTTTCAAGAAAATTGGTTATTTTTATCTAGTGCTCTCAATATTSAGCATGAGCCTTTATTTACCTATTCAATCAGACTGAAGTTAAAATAAAGAATGTATTACAAGTATTTGTTTAAACTTTGGAAGCCCCCCACTTTTCTTTCCTTCTTTTCTCGGTTTTCTTGATTATCAGCTTGCTGTCACTAATTGCCACTCCTATTCACTTTTCCACTAGGAAACAGCCTGGGACTGATAGGAACCAAATATTTGGAAATATGAGCTGTATTTGTTAAAAATTACACCCGTTCTGGGAGAGGGAATGTTAATGAAGAGTCCCCCACATGAGCATCACCTGCCAGCCTGCTGGTCCCTGTGCTGGCCACACCACATGGCAGGGACTTCCACCTCTGGATTAAGTTAATGGCAAAATGACACCCATAAGGTCCTACTTCTCGTGGAGAGGAACATAAGGGATCATGAGGGATCACCTTGTGCACATTGAGTTGGAGGTGGATTTGCTGCTGCCACCCCTCCTGGAGGGGGAAGAGCATCATGAGAGCCTGGTGCCTGCTCYCAGAGAATGCTGTCATTGCCATTCTACCCCATGGCCCACAGTGGGGTGGGCTTCCTTCCTGCTTCACCTGCTGTTTCTTTGCCCAGGTGATCTTCCGAGCCCTGTCACCACCTTACRCCGCAGAGGACCCCTACAGCGTGGAAGCCCAGGCACAGCTGAAGATCACCAACCTGCGGGTGCGGCTGTTGGAGCGACAGGGCTGTCCCTGCATCCCAGCCGGCCCGGCCCCACAGCCCCCGCCTTCCCTGCACTTYGCCATCTATGACTTCATCGTGAAGGGCAGCTGCTTCTGCAATGGCCATGCTGACCACTGCGTCCCTGTCGCTGGATTCAAGCCCACCAAAGCAGCTGGTGTTTTCCATGTGGTATGTACATGCACCCAACAATGTCTGCACTGCAGGGAAGCAGAGTTTTAAAAACAGTAAGGGACAATATAGAGTATGGTACAGGTCCAAGTATGCGTCATTTGACACGTGATGCCCTGGATTCCAAGCACAGTGAGAAGAAATGGTCTTTACAAAGGAGGTGATCTCCATGTGGGGCTGAAGTACTGAACTTCATTTGTGTCTTGGTGTGGGACTCTCATCTTTCAAAGGTATTCCACAGTAATTTATTTATTTCAGGTAAATCTTTGAAAATAATCAAATTGCTGACACTTGTCTTCCCCTAAATGCTAACTGCAATAACACAATATCCAAAAGGTAAAACATATAGGGCATTTTGATGATGAAGTAAGAGGAGAACTTCTCTGAAGGTACTAGGCATCATGTAACTGCCATTGCTTTTAGAGGATCCAAGGATATTGGGCTGGGTCTTGAACCAAGGGGACAGAACTGGATTTTGACTCTCACTCACAGGCTTTCTATTGTACTTTGCAATACCTTTCCCTGGATAAAAACCCTGTGCTCAGGTTTCAAAGGGACTCCCATCATAAGAGCTCTGAGCGCAAATCCCTAGGGACCCACCAAGACCTAAACTCCAGTCCTCCCATGTCCCACTAACTCACAGGGGCGGTGATGACACAGCAGTGGCCAGCACATTGGATGCCTGTGGCCTGTCATGCCTGCACCCAGCCAGCCCAGGGACTCTTGCTGCCCCCAGCACATCTAGTCCTTTCTGCCCATCTTGGCTGGCTCTGAAAGCCCTGGCTTTGCTGGTGGAGGAGTAGGGAAAGACAGAGCAGCCAAACAGCTCTATTGCACTTTCTAATGTTAGAAAGATCATAAAAAAAAGAAAGCTGTTGCTCAAGGTAAGGAGTCCAGCTGTTTGGGGAGCTCTCACTTMACTTGAATTACATATCTCAGACACGAAGAAGACAGTATGTTTCCCTTCTAATAGAGCTAGCCTTGCAACATCTTAAAAATATACCAGTTTGAAAGTGTGCAGCACTGTGACTGATGAGGCTGCTTCAAGTAGCACTCCTCTGCTTTCCACAGATGTCCCCTGAGYGAAAGTCTTTGAAAGGAGCTGTTTGCTCAGATTATTTCAGTGGGATTGCATGGGAGCATGCCCTGAAGCACCACTGAGAGAGTTGTAACAGAGCCTGCAGCCAAACAGGCTTCCAGTCYGGCCACAGCCTGTGGCAGCCATAGCATGCAGGTAGCAGGCAGTGCTGTGGGAAGGAAGCAAATGCCAAAATTGCACTGAAAACAGAGCAAGAAATAGCAGCAAACCCCTGCGCTGGCCCCAAGGGGGAAGTTCAACTCCAGTTACAAATGTTTAGGTGGCAGGAGTCCCAAAGGTGACGTTTCTGCAGTGAGGCTGATTCATTTTGTTGTGTCATACAGTTAATTCTGCATGTCCCATGAGAGTTGTGCTCGTGTAGGGGTGACAGAACCCCATGGTTTGCAGGGAGGGTCAAGGAGTGGTAAGAGGCTTCCTCTCCCAATACCACTTTCTGCATTACAGAACTGGAGCAGTTTTGGCTGAGCCTAGTCCCTGCCAGGCTCCTGCAGCATGAAGCTACTGCTATTAGGGAACTACGGTGGCACCCAACTCATGCAAACCTGGCTTGGGTTTGCCAGCGCATTGCTTGAAATCTGGAARAGAGAATTATTTCCAAGGTGATAGGAAGAATTCATCACACACGTGAATTAACAGAAAAGGGATGAAAGATTGCAGTGTCTGGCTGTTTAGGGGGTAGAGTCAGAAAACTTCTGAAGAGAGGATTTCAGAGATGGAGCATTTTTATACATTCCACCTGCAACACTCACAGAAAATATAATTCTGTGGAATTATGGCCAGTCATTCAGGAGGAACATGGAGATTTGAGTATACTGTTTATGTAATCCTGTCTAGCAAGGGTTTTATCAGAACCATCACTGTAAAACCAAGGAAAACAGAAGTAGGGAAGCACTGTATAATTTTGCAATATGATTATAAAATCTGCCTCTGTTTTTACGCTTGTTTAGTACAGAGCACTCCTGAAGAATATTCCCTAAGTTAGAGAGTTAACGTCAAAATTTAAACAAGTTTAAGATTCTTTAAAAAAACCCCAACTTTTAAAAAAAATGTATGTGCAMGTTTTCTTGGCCCCCCACTTATTCTCAACTAACAGCTAAAATACTAACTGCATCCTTATTTTCAATCCCTCCTTGGCCAGCAGTGTAYCCATATATAATATGTTTATTTTTCTCTTGGGCTGCTCTGGGCACAACTGGTTCCAGCCAGGTCTCACAAAGTGACCAGAAGCATTTCAGCAACCTCACCCAGAGATGATCTGACAAAATAGTGCAGGAATTGTGGGGATGCTGGGGGCTGTTGCTCAGGCAGGTTTGGTGCAGGGTCCTGACCCRAGGGGCCACGATGCTCAGCTTGGGACATGGGCCCAGCTTGCTGCTGCAGGATTCCTCCCAATGGGTATATTTTTTTCTTGAGATCTTAGCAATTGCCTGTTGAAAATGTGACAGATTTGAAGGTAAATGTTATGAGTGGTTGAAGTGAGGCTAGAAATCCACTTGGCCATGAGGTAATACTGACCTGGGACACCCTCAGTGTGTGGCACTGGGATGCAAACAGGGTAGCTTCATGCACAAAGAGGGACTCTTTCCACCCCGGCAAAAGTAGCTCTTGCTGTATTCATTGCGATGGGGAGACCTCTGTCTGCAATCCATCTGAGTCAGGTCAAAGAAAAGTTTAACTTTACAGAGTCTGATCAGAAATGTGTTTCTGTGCCCTTGTTACCATCWAGCTGCAAAACTCTCCATGATGCTTCTTTCTTGCTGGCAATTCCCACACCTACCCTTTCTCCTAAAAGAGAATGAAATTTGTGTAGGAAACTTGGGTATTGTTTGAGTATCAGAAATGCCATGTCAGCCTTTGTGTGAATTCTGAGTATACAGGTGGCACTTTGGCTCTAGGGGAAGGTATATTTCCATGAGCTCCCCAGGAAGATGACAGAGAGGATCTGSCTGTCTTCCAAGGTGGGCAAGGGCTGCTCCTCATAGCTAATATCATCCTGACTGTCCTTTGTTGTACACTCGTGTATAACAGACAAGTGGCAGGTTGATACTGATACACTTTCTGTCATTTCTACTTCTCCCAAATTTATTCAAAGGATCACTACCCAAATCTCCTTAGCAACAGSCCAATGCATGCCCAGGAAAAGATATACATGGACAAACAGACCTCCCACCATACCATGCTAAGCAGTCGATCACTTTGTGAGCTGCATTACAGGGCAAACCACACATACAAGCAGACAAATGAATTCACATATATAGGAGATCCCTCCAGATCTTAATGAGAAGACTGTTTTTTGCTCTGATCTGTGGCACAGGATCTTCTCACCCCTTGCCAGTACCTCTGCATGTGGAACCCTTGCAGTACATGCTTGGGCCCTTACCAGCTAAAGCACCCCTGTGGTTTGCTTTCAGCTATGGAAAGTGTCATGCAAGAAGAGATCCAGTGTTGTGCAAGCCCAGAGATAAGTAGGATCTTGCAATTTAGGACTCCCAAATGGGGAAAGCAAGCCCAATTTGGCCCACCTGGGCCATACAGTTCTGTTTCAAGGTGAGAGCTGGAGTTCATCCATATCAGAGATTCCCTGGCCCTCCCTGAATGTGGATTCCTGCAAGTTAGACCGCTGATCTCTCCAGGCTCCTTCCATAGTTATGAAGGTCGGGATCCTGGGTGGACTAAGATACTCTGCTAAAGCACTTCTGTGTAGTTAGGCAGGGTGAATGTTTCCCCCCACCCCCACTTCCCATGAGGCCAACCCAGTGGCTGTTATAAAYTGTTATCACGCTACTGACATCAAAAGATACTCAAGGTCTTCCAGAGTAACGCTGACAGAAGCCTATTGTACAAGGAATTAAAAAAAAACCCACCACACAGCCCCCACACCCTGGACAACAAGCTTTGTATTCTTTCACAAGAACAAGATAGGATATGAGAATTTTCTCATGCATAAATTTGGTTGTCTGGTGCTTTGGGAAAAGAATACCTCCCTGCGTGGTGACAGCTGCCGGTAGGCATTGGTTCTAAAACTGGCACAGCAGTTTGAGCACAATGTGGTTTAAAAGCTATGGTTAGAGACTCAGTGTGAATGCTACCATTTTCGCCTAGGCTGGTATCATGCCCATTTTCCATGAAAGTTAGGGAAAAAAAAAAAAAACAGAGAGAGAGAGAAAAAAAAAAATACAGTTTGGGCAGTTCCAAAAAAGAAATTCTATTAAAAGCAGTTGCCCCTCCCAGCTACTTAGACTGTTTATGCTATCAGGTCTTTGGTACATTGATTTTCTTTTAGTGTGCATTTGTGCTAGACTCCATATAGTGGGTGAGTTCTTACAATATAAATCAATTTATAACAGGTGACTGGAAGCATTTTTCCCCCAGTGCAGCATTCTTTGTCACTGCCCAATATTTTGGAACATGATAAATATAGGGAAAAGTATTTTATAGGATTCGACTACAAAAAATGCCCTATGTACTTGCAATCTGAAAGGAAGCGCTGGAAGGTTATAATTTGGCAACAAAAGGCTCTGGAAGGAAACATGCCCTAGCAACTGTCTTTGTATAGAGAAATCAGTCGCTCATTTATCTTACAGAAGGCAGCTTTGGTAACACTGTTTGCATTGTGCCCTCTAATGACTGACGTTGTGACAGGGCTGTCAAGCTAAGAAGGGGAACAGTGTGAAAGTGAACTGGGATATAAAGATCCCATGACAAAATGAAAAATGCTATAAGAAGGCTTCGCTGCTTAAATGAGTCAGGAGCCGTGTGAATGCTTAAAGGAGTGAGACATACTGGGAATTGTGTTTGTGTACTTAGTGATGCTCCATAATGACCCTGGTGGGCACGCCTGACAGTTAACTATGAGTAGAGGTGAATGAAAAGGGAGGAAAATATGTCCTCTCCCCTGTCAATGCATGGGGATCACATTCTGCCTTCAGAAAGGCCCTGAGATGCTGGAGAAATCCTGAAGGCCAGGTACATCATTTCCCCAGTCTACCTTGGGTCTCAGCAGAGCTGCTGGGCTGGTTTCTCACCCYGTCTCCCAGCTGCTCTGTGGCATGACAGGGTATTTGCATGGCAGAGCAGTCTTGCAGCAGGCCCTCCTACAGCTCTTACAAACATTAATTTTACCCAGTATAGACAGTCTGTTGGCTGGTTTTCACCTGCCACTTCTCCTTATATTATCCCTTCCTGTCCTTTCTCCTATTTCTAGCTCTCATTATATTTCTTTATAACTTAAAATAGACCACGTCTACCTATGGGCTGCCAGAAAGGGTTTGGTAGTATCCACCTTCTTTGTTGTTTCCAATGCATAAAAGTGTTTGCTGTCGTGCTGGAATAATGTTAAAGAAAGAGGATATTTTCTTCAATGGGGTAAAGCTAGGTCAGAGAGACCTTTTAATGTGGAGATGTTATGGGGGGTAATCATTATAATGCTATTCAAAGAGAATAAATACATCAGCCTGAGGTGGGGTTTTTGAATACCTTAGGCCTGACTTTTCACTAAACTTCTGTGAAAAAGGAATATGAAAAAGAAGATACCAATTAAATGGTTGCACTGAGAAGCTCTTAAGGACCCCATTTCCCTCTGCTCACTCAATTTAACTGCCCATTCAGCTGTTTCGTTTGTTCATGAATGGGTYTGCACCCCACACTCTGCCTGGCTGAGAGGGATTGGGGCCACCGTGAGACCTGAGGGGACCATGAAGAGGCAAAGTTTTCTCAGCCCAATTTAAGTAGCAGTGCTGTAAAGGCACTGCACCATCATAATTGGGAAACCTACTGCCTTTTCCAAAGCTTACTGCCAAAGATTGGAGCCTGGGTAGTTCCAATATAAAATATTCTGATATAGAAGCGGGGTCAGCCAGGACATTGCATCCCATGCCTCCGCAGGTGCTCACCCAAACGTGAATTCCACTGAGATTACAAGTTCTCAGYCCTGAAGCGAGCAGGAGGACACAGGTTTACAAAGTATGTGTTGCAGGYTGGGCTACTGGACAGCCGTGCTAGGCCCTGCCCAGGTGAGCAGAGGGTGTGTGGGATACACAGCGGGATCTGCGCTTGGAAGGGAGCAGCTGATGATTGTGATAAACCCTGAGGAAAGGAAACTGCAAAGTGGCACCCTTATGATAAGGATGGGGAACATGCTCCTGATCCAGCTGGACAGCACCCACTGAGTCAGCTGGGGAGCCCAAGCCTACGGGGAGGAAAATACATCCAGTGCTGGTCCTGTGTTTGTCTTTACGCAGACATCAGAATGGTGCTATTCTGTTATTTTTTAAGCTTTTCAGCCAGACCATTGGTTTCCTTCCCCCAAGTGCATGGCACCTTTACAAGCAATCAATACCAGGAGAGTCTCGCCATGCTCTGCCTCTGAGCCTGTCTGGATAAACACCAGCTGGCTTGATTTGCAGCATCTCCAGTTTGGCACTTTTGCAGCTCTCCTCACCACAGCATAAGAGCCCACAAGCCTTGCATTGCTGTAACAGTTTTTTAATTATATACAACCTCTTTCTTTAGGGTTCACATACAGATCAATATTAATGTGTTGGTACTCAGCTGTTCAGTGGTTTCCTTACTAGCTCTGCATGCCAAATTAGTGGTGGCACAGCTGGTTCTTGGGATACCTGTCCTGTTCTGTTTATTTTCACCCACCTTCCTTTATTCCAGCAATGCAGCATGCTCTATTACACAGTACTTGGGCTTTCAGAAAATTCAGTTACTCTTAGGAGCCATGAATGCTCCTTGGTGGGGAATTTTGCCTTGCTCTCTCCTGATGTCTCAGGATCTTTAATCCTTTGAGGGTTTCTGAGGTGCTGCTGAGTTTTAGATGAGTTTTTGGATTTTTAATGCTGAGCAGCCGCTGGATGATTGATTGCGTGCCCACGGATTCTTTGTGTGGCTTTGGCAAGAAGAAATTTGGAGGGTGAGACTACAGCCTATGGACACAGGAAGGGGGAGCACACATCCCCACTGTAATGCCAAGTGTCCCCATGTCTGAGACAATTTCTGTTTGCAACTCTTCTCACATGTCCTTCTCATTTTGGCATCACGATTGCAAAAGCACCAAAGGAYCACCTGATTTTGACCATGGCACCCTCTGACTCCTTCAGGTCACCTTCCCTTCCTGATCATGTATGTTCTGTATCTGGTGGATCCCTCTACCCTAACAGGTGGGACAGTCCTGTGAAGAAGGATCTCTGGCCACAGGTGTGGTTCAGGCTAGTACAACCTGTTTAGCCCTAACCATTTAATGGCCAAAGGGCTTGCAAGAAACTCCTACCAAAAGTGGCATCAAAGAGTTAGGACTCGATCAAAACCATCGGAAGATGACTAGTACAGTTTTAGCCATTTTCTGTTTGCATTCAGGTGTGTATGCTTTTAAATGTGTGTGAAGTGACTCTGTAATGTAGGGTTGCATGTAGACCTTGCCTTAAAAATATGAGAGAGAAAAAATTATCAAATAATGGTAATTTAGGAAAGTGAGGCRTCTGGAAGTTTGGAGAACATTTTGTGGGTGGTAGCAAAAATGAGAATATGAAAACACAAGACACATTTTGAGAACTAAAAATTCCCTCCACATATTTGTTGTTTCTTTTCTATATTTACTTCTCATTGTTTTCAAACATTAGCACACATTTAAGCTTGTATCAATATGATAAGCCAGACAAACCAAGCAGTATCTGCTGTGAGACCAACTAATACCTGTGATGAGGCTAGAGAGCACAGAAAAGAATGTAGGCTTGGTATTTTTACTTTAGCTTAGATGCTTGTACATTCTGACTCCATCTGTACCTATCCATTGCTTACACAGCCCAGTTGCTGTTCCGTATTTTTTGATGATCTGACATTTAATAAGGAAGAATGAATTAAAAAAGTTTCTGGAAGATCTTGCTATTTTCATTTCTGCTGRAAAGTCTTTGAAGGTCTTTCCAGGTCAGTTTTGAAGTTTTATCTGTACTGGTTACATCTCACTCCTGTGAGATTGCAGCTGAAGTCATTATAAATTTATAAATGGAAGTCGGCATTAGCCAGGAGTGTGYGTGTGTAGTGTGGTGTGTGCACCTACGTAACAAGCAGGAGCTGTTTACAACATGTTCAAGGTCCTCTTCTGTTTTGTTTACTGTTCAGGCTTTTCACAGGAACATTTCCGTAGCAGCCTCAGCAGCAAGTCATGCCGTTAGGAGCTGCACACTTGTAAAACCGCGAGTTAAACAGTGCAGAAGGCAGCATTTTCCAGCAGCAGTTAAAGCCATGCCCCAGCTCCAGGCTGGATCACCAGGCACCCCAACCACCCTATGTTCCTCTCRATGCCAAAAGCAGCCGGCAGCTGGTGCAGCTCCATGGGTTTTGTGGCCAACTTGTGGCATGAGGACAGGGCCACGCTGGCAGGGCAGACAGTTGCTCGTTACTGAGCAGCCGGAGAAGCCGAACCGCATAGTTGAAAGGAAAATGTGGAGCAGGGTAAAGCTGTAAGCACAGGCACATATCAAAATAGCTACAGTAGGTAGCTACCTGCCACACTTCATGGGAAAAGACAGGGCCTTCAGCCTTGCCAGCAGAGACATGCTGCTGCAGAGCTTGATTTTGTTGCATACAGGCACTGCTGRGCTGCTCGTGCCCTCTGGCTACATCCTGTTTTCTTTGCATTTGCCAACAGGTTGAGTAATGCCAGCGACTGACAGGGCAGCTGGCACCGAGTGTGCTGTGCTGGCTTTTTATCTCTAATTTCCCCCTTACACTGGGCTGTCTAGCTGTTAAATTATCTGTCATGAACGTGTCTGAGTATAGTCAGTCACAGACCTTGTGCTATCCTTGATTCTTCCTTTGTGGGGCAAAAATTGTGCCTAGCATGAGTAGACATTTATGTTTCAGGGGTTGATTTTCTTTTTTCTAATATTTATTTGTGTTGGAGAGGGCTGGGTGCTGAGATTATGGGTGCCGTTCCTGCAGTACTCAAAGGTGTGTTCATGTTTATGAGAGAGGAAAAGGAATAGGTTTTTTCAGTGTTTCCCAAGGATGCTTTGAGTCTTGGCTCTTTTCAGTCTCTCCTGGAAATTGGTGCTGCTTCTAGAAACTGCTGAAGACCCTTTTAGATCTCAAAAAAAAAAAAAAAAGGTATGATTATATAATACCATGATATGCAGATCTACACATACTAACCAAATTGAAAGTGTAACTATAGAATATTTGTCCTTGGCTGATACCGTGCTACATCCCTCTTTCCAATCAATGCAGTAGCATCTAGTTGGCATGCTATTTCCTGTGTGGGGCCATTGCTTGTGCCCTGGAGACTCTGGCCTTTGCTCTGGGTGATCCTTGCTCTCTTTCCCCTCCTAGGTCCACGGGAAATGCATGTGCAAGCATAACACCGCAGGGTCCCACTGCCAGCACTGCGCCCCGCTCTACAATGACCAGCCTTGGCAGGCTGCCRATGGCAAAACCGGAGCCCCCAGAGAGTGCCAGTGTAAGTAGCCAGTGAGGAACAGTTTCTCCAGAGCCTATGCCAGAGCAAAATGCTTTCTCCATGTGTGCCTTTCTGCCATGTGTCCAAGAGGCAGACGATCCTGGGGTGGTGGGYAGGTGCTTTCCAAGCAGCTCAGTGAGTGAACAGCCGCTGCCACACCCCTGCCCAGCAATCATCACGTTTGTGTGGCCAGGACAGCCCTGTTTGCACAACCCCTCCCTTGGAAATCCTCACCTGACCATGATGTCTGTTGGTTTGGCCTTTCTCTGGGACACAAGTGCATCTCCTGGAGATATGGTCTGCTGTTGTGGGCAGACTGCAGCCTGCCAGAGTACCTTGGAGGTGACAACTGGCCAGATTTGTCCCCTCCATGGACACCACTGACAAACATATTCGCAGGAGGTATGGCTTTCTGCTGCTGGACACGGGCTCTGCTTAGCCCCAAGCACTGAGGGATGGAGGAGCCATGGGCTCTGGAGGTTTGAAGATTAGCCCTCCTGCCAGGGAGGATGCTTAGGGTGAGTGCTGGAAGAGGGGGAATGCAGAAGTCATGGGGCTTTAGTAACAGCAGCAGTCTAGCCAGAAGGGTGCTGAGGACTAACCACACCACCTCAGGAAAGTTTGGAGGCAGGCTGAGTGCCGTCCTGTCCTGGCTACAATGCTATCCACGTGTAATATGGCTGCCTTTGTGGCCTATGGTAACACTCACTGCAGTATGTATGAGGGAATGACAGTGAATCCCTATTTGCACCAGCAGCATTGGAATAGATTTCACTTGACCCCTGAGTTCAGTCATGTGGGCAAGCAGACTTCCTCCACTGTCAGCACTGGGTAAGGGGGATGCTTGTCCTCTGTCACACAACTCTGCTCCACCTGCCTTTTCCTCCATCAACTGCAGGTAACATCCTGACAGCACCTTCATGGCCATTACACAGGGACTTGCTGATTTCTAAAGCTGGGAGGGAAGGATCCTTCCTCAGCAGGACCAGTGGATGTGGGACTCTCTGTTCTGGCCTGACCACCTGTGGCTGTGCTTGTACTGGAAAACCTGTATTGGAAACAAAAGAGTTAGAGAAAATACATTTTCTTAAATGTTATCTCCAGAGGTTGGGAAGTGCGGGTGAAAATGTAGTGATACTTCATGCATTTTAATGAATAACAGGTTCATAGGTCATCCCCATTACAAAACATGTTTTGAATTTTTATGTCTCTTTTCTATAAATGAGTATTTTTCACTGCCTTAATGAGTCTTTCTGTTCCGTTTGGCTTCGTCTCAGCATGCAAGTGTAATGGGCATGCCGACACTTGTCACTTTGACATGGATGCATGGCTGGCATCGGGCAATCGCAGTGGTGGTGTCTGTGACAACTGTCAGCACAACACAGAAGGGCAGCACTGCCAGCACTGCAAGCTGGGCTTCTACCGTGACCTCAGGAAGCCCTTCTCTGCCCCAGACGCCTGCAAACGTAAGTCAGCAACCTTGTACTTCTCAAGTAGGAACATGCCAAATGAAAGGTGAGATGTTCTTGCCCCTCCTTGGAGCAATCTTCTGCTTCAGTGAAGGACAGCGAGTTCTTTGAATTCCCTTTGTGATACTGTTTGCAAAAAGAAGTGGTGATATTTGCAGGGTGAAAGTCTGCAGATGCTGTTGACAAATCTATCCTAATGATCCCTGTAGCCTGAGGGTAGGGGAAGAGAAATGATTCATTTGCTTTCTCCTATTGCTATTTTTGGAAAGGAAAAGTTGCATCTTTTCTTGTGGCATGTTCTCCATGTTTGGTGATTGCTGCAATCAGAATCAGGTTCCTCAGCCAGCAGGGGTGCAGCCGCTAAGTAGCATCACCCACCAGTTTGTGTTCACAGCAGCAGCAGGTGGGGATGGAAGGACAGACAGGAACACAAGTTAAGTGATAAGGTTAATTATCATAATTCCATAAAGTGGGACACTAAGGAGGCAAGACTAAGGGCAATGAGTCAGGCACATGTGAAATTAAATCTTTCCAAAGCAAGGAAGCAATSCAGAAGCCACATGCCCCAAGGACCACTGTGAGGATGGTGACTCACCATGGGGGACTCCAGATCCCCAAATCATGCTGAGCAGATTACCCTAGTCAGCTAAATATGGGTTGCAGACATGCCCTCCTCTCTGAGCCTAGCACCGCCCTCCGGCTTCACCACATTTCTCCTCACTCACTGTGAGGGGGACCTTATAAGTGATGGAAAGAAATCTAGCTGACACCCATGCCTGTGTCTTTTGAGGAGACACTGAGCACATCTCTCTCCTCTCAAGGAGAAGTATCTGCATGTAAGGGAAGACAAAACCCTTCTGCGGTGGGAAGCTGCCCCCTTTGCTGGGAGGGTGTGTGAGATTTCGCTTTGTTCTTTGAGGTCTGGTGAGAAGCAACGGCTTTTCTCCCACCCCCCCTTGATGCATATCATCCTCGGGAGATTCCCAGCAATGCTACCGCTCTATTGCAGAGGTCCTCCTCCTCTCCACCTTTCACTCATTGCAAGAAGGAGCAACACAGCTGAGCCACCTGTTTTACAGCCCTAGTTCTCTTTATGGAAACAGAATTGACCACAGTTCTCCATTGCTTCTGTAAATAATTATTTCACTGCTCTAGTATGTACACCATTATTTGTTTTAAACAGTGAATTTAATGATTTTTTAATGTTCATTACCTACTTGTATACATCAAAGTTCTAAGTCTCCTCTGAAACATCAGATGCTTTCCCTCCTCAATTAGAGCCAGAACTTAGGCAATGAAATTTTGTTTTGGAGTCTCATTAGCAAAAAAAATGGTTTAAGTCTTGCATTTAGACCCAAAGCAGAGGCTATATGGTTTTTTCTAGGTCATGGATTTATCCATGGTGATTAAAAAAAAATAATAATTAGTAGGATTGACTCCTGGTAGATAACGCAGGACAGAAGACTGAAATAAATTCTGCAAGGAACTCTGAAAAATCCTTGTACTGTGGTTCTGCTACCTTTGCTAGGGTTGTGATTCCTGATATTCTTTCAGTGCCAGCTCCCCTCAGGGAATAATATGCACCTTTCCGAGGCCACTGAAGACAAGTGAAGCTTTGGCACTGAGTTGARTGCAGTTTTCTGGACACCTGAAAACACCAACCTTCACCTTGGAAGCTGTAAAAGTGTCCTCTATCTCCTTTGTCACCTCATTCCATCCATTGAGGGGATGGAGTTTCACAAGGGGCTCATTCTAGGTTTATCCTTGTGCCAAAATGCCCAGTCCATAATCTGTGGCTGTTTGCAAGGTCCAAGGGGAAGCCAAACAGCACTTCCTGGGCTGGCCAGCACAGAGCCTTCTTCCTTGCAAAGCCAGATTGAAACAAGAGGTCTCAGGACATATTGCTGCTTCCCTTCAAAGGGAAGGCTGCCAACCCTGTGTGCATGTGCTTGTGTGCAAGCTATACCATTGCTAATGAAGTCAGGCAGTACATCATGTCATTAGCTATATGTTAGCCAAATTCTAGGGTTCTTGATTAAAAAGTTTCTCTCAGCCTTTCTGAGCCAGAGGAAACTGTGGATATTAGATGATTAATGGGTATTCTTGTTGACATATGCCAGTGCTTGGTTCTCTTGGCTTTCTGCATTCACCTCTGAATCACTGGCCCATGGCACTCCACTTTGCACATTAAAAAAAAAAAAAAAAAGTGTGTGCCTTCATTACTATTTAATGCTACAATCCAGCTTTATGGATCACTAGGTATTCATGAACTCTGGTATTTAAAAGCCAAAGGTAACATATATTTAACAAGAACTGTAAGATACTCTTGAGTATAGTGAGAAAAAGTTTACATTTATTTACTTTCTGCAATAAGTACATCGACTTCATTGCTCTTTTTTTTTTCTGCATTTATGAATTATGGAGCATGATGCTCCCTCAAGTATCTGAGGAAGACAACTTTTCCTAGCACAAACTGAATTCCACAAACATAGGGATTATCTGAATGCTTTCTTTTCAGAGACCCTGTTACTACAAAGTCACAGATGATTTCTCTCTGGACTTTTCAAACCCTCACAAATGCCTCCTCCCTAAGACCCCTTCACCTCTCCACTTCTGGTCTCCTGCTGCCAGGATTGCTCCCTGCACCCAAGGACCTGGCATCTCACAGAAGAGGTGGCAGCTGCAGGGCCGTAGACAATGACTAATGACTGTTAAATTAAATTATACAAGATCAATTACAGCCTATGCCTGGAACATTTCCAAGGACCATGCCATGGTCTGCAATAACAAGGGACGTGCGTGGAGCCCTATTATTCTTTCTTGGGAAGGCCATGGCATTGCCTGCTTGCTTCTGGCTCAAGACACCGTTATTGTTCAACCATGGAAAATTTAAAAATACCTAGGTCAAAGTAAATAAAGAAGTTGTTAAGCCATAATCTTTAAGAATACTTTAAAGATTCTTGTAGGCAAAGAGTGCTCATAATATTTGCTCAGGAGTAGGTGTGTAGCTGATAAAATAAGACGTTCTGATGTTTAAAACACCAATCTGATTACTCTTTCCCCCCACCATACCTATGAGTCTTTCTTTACATCCTCATGAGCTTTTAAGCCTCAGCTACAGTACAAATGTAGACAATAAAACTGAGTTTTATAATTGCCCAGCTTACTTTTGCTGTTCAGCTGTAGGGTTTTGAGAGTAAATATTTGTCATTTCCAAAGGTTGGCTGGCAGCAGAAGAAATCACAACAGTATCACCAATCCAGGGCAGGGAAATTCAGTTCTGCTGGCATCACACTCACTGATTTTCCATCCCAGTCAGCACATGCAGTACCAGGACTGGCTGCTGTTATTTCATAATGKGCATGCAAGTCACATGCAGAATATTGCTGTGTAGTACAGGCTGGTAAATTGGCATTTTTAGTGATGCTGCTTACAAATCACAAAGAAAGCAAAAAGGTCAAAGAAAGCTTGTGGAAGGTTTTTCTTGATCCAAGGCTGGTGCTGCCCCATTCCTTCTCTTGCAAGAGCTCCCTTGGCCGTGGAAACCTCCAGCCTCTCTGATGAGGTGGCCACCAGCACGAGACAAGCGCTGTGCAGAAGCCTCACAGTGAGAGCCTTACACTTTGCACTTGTGTGTCCACAACRAAATACCATCCAGCAATGTCTGTAGCTGCTTTATCTGCTGCTCGGCTTCTCCTCTCACCTTCCCGGACATGGGTCTCCTACTACCTGTGCTACAGTGAGGTGCAGATTGTGTGGAAGGAGGAAAATGGGGTCTAAAACCAGCACAGCACAGCTGCCCTTGAGGGAGCAGTAGCTCCAGCATTCAAACATTGTATAATCAGTCCTGCGGTCTTTTTTTTCCTGYGCTTGCCATAGTGTGGGAGCACTCCATCCTGCTTCCATGCATTTCTTTCAAATGTGGTACAGCATGTTCACATTTGGGCTCTAGAGCCTCATTTCTATGCTTTGTGCATAGTGATGGGCTTCATTTTATGTCCGGATTGCTCAGCAAGTTCCCACTGTAGCCCACCACAAATATTTCCCATGCTGAAAATTTGCCACTTAGTGTCATCTTGGGCCTTCACCCAAGATCCGAGAGCAAAAACCTTCAATCTGCAGGCCACCGCTGGAAAGCAGATTGATACCTTGATGCCTCATTATGGGGCAGCCAGGAAGGATGGGATCCATGGAAGTGGCTATGCAGGCCTGCTAGAAATTATCAGTCTTTAAAACACATTTCTTTGTGACTTTCATTAAAAAATATAGCCAAATACATTCTCATTTTTAGTTGTCTTTGTAACTGCCTATGAGTTTGCTTCTCCTTTTCATCACAGCTTTTGTAAATTTAATATTCTTGCTTCACCATAGTGTTGCCACCGATRTTAAATTTTCTATCAGAAAAATATTAGTGTAAAAGAATTGTCTAAAACATGAAAGCTCCAATCTCAACAAGGCTGTGTGTAAAATTCASCTGAAACCTGACCAAAACAGGGCCAAATCTCTTGCTGAGCAGTGGGTTTCTCTCATTGATTGGAGGAGAATACAAGAGCCTTAAGTGCTTGATATTTCCCCTGAAGGGCCTGAGGAATGCCAGAAATACCCACCTGATCTAGTAAGAAAAGAGAGCATTTGGCTATATGTATCTGTCATGGGTTTAAACCTGATTTTTCCCAATCCGAGTCACAGCACCAAAAATGTCGTTTGAACTTGACCAAAAGCCAAAAGCACTGCACCCACGACATTCTCTCCCTTCTCCCTGCCCCCACTGGAGAGGCCAAAGGGAGAGCAAAAGCACAATTAACATTAAAATTTGTGGCTTTCAGATAACATAACATAATTGWGAGAAAGATATGTATATGGTCCAGAAAATGGTCAGACAGGCTGAATAACTTAAGTTGCAAAATAGATTTATTACTAAAAACTAATAAGAATACTACTGCACTGGGGAGAGGAACAGAGATAGGGAAAAATAAAAACGGACATTTTAAGATACCTGTTATTCTTTCCAGGAACCTGTCTCTTTCTCAGGTCGTCCCTCTCCACCCCCCATGTTTTCCCACACACACAGGGGACAGGAATGAAAGTTTAACATAGATCAGACTACTCATTACAGTTATCATCCAGCATCATAGGAGAAGAGTTCTTACAGCTCCAAGCYGTGGAAGGTYGTTTCCCAAGAAACAGTCAGTGTATAACGGCAAGGGATTCTTTTCTTTACCTTGTAAGAGAAAGGAAAGAATGTTCTCCAAGGCCAAACTGCGTTGTTTCGGCAGTGTAAGGCCACTATCACAAATCTCCCAGTCGAATTCAGCTTCTACTAAGCATCCACTTACTTCAGACGTGGGGTGGGGGCACCTCTTCCCTCCCCACAGAACACAATTTCTTCTAAGCKTCAACTCGCTTCAGACGTGAAGGGGAGCCAAGCCTCTTCCCCCTTTTTTTAGGCTTCTGATCAGTTCAGTCTAGTCCTTAAAGGCCAGGTTTTTCTCAGAGCAAGGTCGCTCTCTTTTCTATACAGGTCTCTCATTGAAGAARTAGTCCTTTCGAGAACAGCTTTTTTTCTCCATGTTCGAGAACCACAGCACAGCACAACAGTACCTGTCTTCTCCTTACTGTGAGCTTGGGTCTCCATTTTTTTCTTACATGTCCTCACCCTCCTGCTCTGTTTTTCCTCAATGCATCATACTAACRACCTAAAGACTACATGGCRGCCACCCCTRTCTTGTTTTGAATTCTTCTTAAGTACAAGACCATACGTCATCACAGAGGTGTAACTAGACTGTGCAATTGGCCCAGGCCTGATGAGCAGCCTGTCCATCAACCTCAGAGCCACAATGGATTGGCTCTAAAACACAGGGGATAGGGCTCCTTTTGCTGGAGAAGAAGGAGAAAGCTTCTAGAACTTTGTCACAGGAGCCATCTCTGTGGTTTCTTGGTCCCATCCCCCCACCACCAAAAATTGGACCAAGTAAAACCAGGACAGTATCAGGTGTAAAACACTTCACAGACTTCAGGAGAAAGRTATGCAAGTCTCAATGCACGATGTTGAAAACTATGCTATTAAAGGCACCAGAGTTCACAGCCTGCAGCTACTTATGCAGTTTGTGGAGAGACTTTCTAATCTTTAAATTTTATATAATTATATTTGTTTGGGAATGGAAAGGGTGGGGAAAATTTGGGGATTACTTTGGCAAAGATGTTGGAATTATAGTCACCTCAAAGTTAACTGCCAATATTAGTCTATCCTTTAATATTTTGAAACTATACTACAGGTACGTCAGATTCCTGAAACCACAAAAATGTCAGAACAAAACTAAATGTATGTGTACAGCAATAAGTATTTTAAGAGAAAGAAAGGTTGTGTTGCCTGTAGTGGCTTTCTGGCTCTGTTGCCTTCACAGCTGCAAAGTAGAAAAATTTTAGGTATTAAAATTTAGTGAAAATATTCCCTACAGAGAAAATTTTCTCCAGCAACCAAATTTGTATGTAAATGAAGCTTTGGGCAAAGGTCTTTCAGCAGAGATTTTTTTGCCATAATGCATAAGGCTGACTGTACCATTTCCTACTCAGAGAACCAAAGCCTGAGGTGAGAAGAGAACAAGTCACCCAGCTATAGGTGCTGGGGGTCACCACATTGCCTGCTGACCTGGCCAGATGGTCAGAGGTTTGCCTTTGATAACTGTATTTCTGTTCTTTGAAAATATTGACATCTTTGGGGGAAAGTAGTCTTGTAACACACATAAATTACATTTATGCAAAAAAAAAACCCCTAATGAGTAGGTAAGGAAAACTTCACACTGCCTATTTTAGGGTGTCCTTTCTGAGGATCCCARTACACTTCTAGTGCATTGTTCTGATGCAAGGGGCTGTCAGGGAGGAAAGAGATCATCTGGCATTTCTGACATATTCTGCAAACCCGTGTCCTGGACAATATGCAAAAGCACATCTCTGAGCTGTCAGTTTCATCATTCCTCTTTTCTAATGTTTTTAAATGATGGCTTTAAAATTAGACAGAGTGGTACTTTTTGCTCAGCCTCCACTTAATTTAAAATTACTGTTCTGAGTGGGGTTTTTAACGTCCTAGATGCAAGACAGTTGTTATTACTTTAAAAAGCAGTTATGCTCTGATTCATTTTTGCAATGAAGCACCCGCAGCTGCTTAAACATCACAGTGAGGCAGATGGCATCCCTGGGTATTTGTCCAGATTAGAGTCCAGACGCTTCAAGGACAGTAATAAAGGCCTGTTTGGCAAAGCATAACATGACACCAGGATTGGTTGTYTAATTAAAATAGCTCACAACAATTAAAATTATACAGATTCCAATGGGAGACTGCTCAGTTTTATGTGGGGCAGGGAAACAAAGGCCCAGAAACCCCAGAGGTATCCCCAGGCAGAAAGGTGGTTTCACAGGCATCTCCTGCACCTTTGTGCTGCAGATTCTCTGTCTCTCACGGTGTTCCTCCCCTGCAGCTTGTTCTTGTCACCCCGTGGGATCAGCCGTGCTCCCCCTGGGCCCCCGCACCTTCTGTGACCCCAGCACTGGTGACTGCCCCTGCAAGCCCGGCGTGGCAGGGCCTCGCTGTGACCACTGCCTCCCTGGGTACTGGGGCTTCGGTGCCTATGGCTGCCGCCCCTGTGACTGTGCACGCAGCTGTGACCCCCACACCGGTGACTGCCACAGCAGCAGGTGAGTTCGGGGGTCTTGGCTACCCCCTCCCAGCCTCACCGTACCTCTGTGATCTCTGTTCCAGGGAAGACACTATTTACACGTGGCAAGCCGGCTGGAAAGTATCCCTTATGTAAAATACTTAGGGTTTTGGTATGGCCAAGTGGGGGTAGAGTGGGAGCTAAGGCTGTGGTTCCCCTGGGCACCTGGCACACCGTGGCAGGGCACCAGCAGTGTTGGACTTTCTGCTCTCAGTGCTGGTGTTAATGTATCAGGCATTTTCCCTAAACTTCACGGTTGTTTCCTCTTCACAAGCAAATGTTGACCTCAGGGACATTTGAGTGAGAGGAGACCAAAGGCTTAATATTTCAGCTGTAACACAGCTTATGTTGACTGTGTTGGGTTTGGAATCAAGCTCTGACTTTTAGAAGATGGCACATTTTAATAATAGCCCACTTTCCAAATCTGAAATGTTGCTTTTTTTACCAGACTGAAGATATTTATGGCACATAAATCCCTATAACATATTTYAAACCCAAAATGGATTCATGATACTCTCTGACAATACTCAACCTGTCCTGCCTCTTGCATTTACCATTGCCAAGACACGCAGTYATGTTGTGCCTGGAAGATGGGTTGGTAGTGGCCCTGCTTTCTGCTGGCTCCCACAGGAAGGCTGATCATCTCCCTTTCCCCTCAACAGCTCAGATGTGACCTGGCACAATGAAGCACCTCCTTTCCAGGCAGTTCTCAATGAGAGTGAGCCCACCTGGAGCTGGGAAGATGAGCAGGGCTTCTCAGCACTCCGGCATTCTGGTAGGACTGCGGCTTTACGTGTGTTTCACCTGCCCAGAAGATTTAGTCTTCTGCCCTGGCTTGTAGTTAGCATCCTGGCAATTGCAGGGAGAAATGGACATTGCCCCACTAACATGTAGAAGAACGTTCTTGTGACCATCTCCTCCCCTCCAAGAGCCAGAGGAGCCTTATGGCTCATCCCAGCAATGCAAGGATGTACAAGCCCATTAGACAGGTGCACCATGCTGAATTCCTGCATCCAGCATTTAGCTCTTGGAAGGCATGAATCTGATGTTCCAGCTCTGAATTTCAAGGCTGAATACCCTCATATTTTACTTGATTATCATGTTTTAAAGGCATGCTTATATTCCCTAAAACTGGACAAACCAGCAACTCTCTTCAGAGGGKGGGGTTTGCCACTTCACTAGTGAGTAGTTAGGGGATTTCTAACTCAGAATTTATTTCCCTGATACCCACAACAATTTTGGTCTTGGTTGCAGCTCATGATGCAATTTGAGATGGTCTAGCATTTGAGCTTCAGCTGGGGAAGTTATTTCCCTCCTGCGTTCCCAGCCTGGGGGAGGTGGGTGCTGTGTGAAGTTGGTGCATTACAGGCTGACTCCATGGTGCAGCCTCAAGCTGTCCTTCCTCGCAACTGCTGCATGCAAGCAGGCAAGCATCATTTCCTCCATTTCCAGAGAGTGGCTTGATAACATCTCGAAGATACAATAATTGAGTTAATTGAGGGGAAAGCTCCACCATTTGTCTGGGTGACTTCATTTTGAACATAAATAAGTATATCATGTTATTCTTTGTTCTAAGATCACGGAAGTCATTAATCTGCCTTAGCCTCTGCAACATTTCCTTTTAAAATTTTGTCTGGTACATTATGGTGTGGAAAATACCACAGGGAAAGATACGCATGTTATTTGCATCCCAAGGCAAAATAATAAGGCCTTTGTTTCCCTTCTCTTGTAATTGTAAACAAGGAGTAATTGCCCTTGGACTAAGATTCTGTATTCACTCTCAATCTGAAAGTAGTTGCAAACTTCTTTTTTTTGCGTGAGGCTCGTGGACCACTTGAAAAACCTGTGGCAGTTCCTGGGCTCTGCCTGTAAATGCTCCTGTCTTTGAAACACAATCCACAGCCATTTGCTTCTTTGTTTTTCCCCAGGTAAATGCGAATGTAAAGAGCAAGTTTTAGGGAATCCGAAGGTCTTCTGTGGGATGAAGTACACCTATGGTGAGTCATGGGTGAGGGGGCTGTAAAGGGAGGTGCTGCAAGGCAGTGCAAAAGTGTATATAAAGAATGAGAGGTGCTGTGTGCGCACCACTCCATCCTGGCAAACACATGGGATCCTTAGTCCAAAGGCAGATCTTTGATCAAAMTGTACAGGTATCATGGTTCCAAGTCAAGGTGGGTGAAGCATCTTGTTCTGTTACCCATCTGTCTTGCTATCAAAACACCGTTGTACAAAAATCATGGAAGGACGAGAGCTAGAAGTGTCCCTGGGAGGTGATCTAGATCCAAGACAGACTGTAAAGCACTGTTACCAAAAATGGGTCACTGAAATGCTGTCCAYAGATGAGGTGCCCCAGTCACGGTCTAGAAATCACTATATCTGAATGATACCAAACATAAGGAGGGACAGTGATYAGCACTCCATGGACAAAACAATTCCATCAGCTACTGGGAACTTCCCCCTGTCAATAGACAATGTTGCAATGGGGTCATGTATATTGTCTGTGTGTCTCTTGGATTTAAATGAATGAGAAGAGGCACTTTGTTTCCCAAGACCTCCCTGGTGCATGCCGGTGAACTGCCTCCTTCACAGTGTAGCAGAGCAAGGAATGCTCTCTGCAGCACTCCCTTCCTTCACAAGGTATTTCTTGCAGGGGTCTCTTGCACCTGTTTTGTCTCACAGTGAAGTTGAAAATGCACAGAAAGACAACCCAATATCTCTGCAGGCTGCAGAGCAACCYATGAAGGGGAGTTCAAGAGGCTGCCAGTTGTTGAAATGTAGCCCTGGCTTAGTGATATTAAGAAAAAAWTTGATTCTGTTCTGCTTTGCTTTCCAGCCACGACAGTAATTGTGTTTAATCTTGTAAAAGATAAGAAATTGAAAAAAAAAAAAAAAGGTCACATAACCTCCAAGTTCATAAATCTTATCTAAAGTGCACTCAGGCTTCCACCCCTTTCATCACCCAACATGTGAAGGTGTCAGCTAAACTAGAGAGATAGATGAATTACGGGGCTCATCATGAGCTCCAGGAGGCCACACTGTGAGAGRCTGCCCTGAGCTTCCCCATGTGAATGCTGAATAAAGCACCACCATTTGGGAATACCTATGGATATATCTCCACCAGGATAGGTTGGGTGGAGAAACTGAGCCCTGAGCCTCCACCATGCAGAGGCTCAGCAGTGGAATGCCAGGTGGTGGGAGCATACCTGTGGGTATGAGAGAGCTCAAAATACTCCATTATTTGCCCCAGTCCCCACCAATGTCTCACTCCCCTCCACTGAGTTTAGATTTGGCAGTTCTGCAAAGCAAGAGGACTGGCACCTGAGTGGGATGAGGGTAGGTCTTCACACCCCTGCCTGCTGCCTGGGCTGCCTGGCCTGAGGCCATCAAAGCCTCCAGGTCCATCCCTAAATCCAGTTAATTTTCTGAAGTGATAAGGAGACCGAAAAGTTTGCTGAGCTCTGGAGAAAATGGAACCCTCAAAAGCTGTGAAAATCAGGTCATTGTACCTCTGCTGCTGCCCTCATGACAGTTCCAGTAGCCATGGCCAAAAAACATGGAGCATTTCTGCCCGTGGGGATGGGGATGCTGCTTTGCGGCAGCTGCACTGATGCTGGGCTCACCAGCAAGGAGCACTGGGCTAACTCCACTGTAAGGAAACAATTCTCCTCACTGTTTCACCCAGATACCCTCATGAGACCAGGAAAAAAGAGCACTGCAAACAGTTTTGAATTCTTGTCTTCCCAGTGATAAAGACAAAGATCTTGTCAGCTCATGACAAAGGCTCCCATGCAGAAGTCGGTGTGAAGATCAAGAAAGTCTTGAAATCTACAAAGCTGAAGATCCTCCGGGGCAAGAGGACACTCTACCCTGAATCCTGGACTAACAGAGGCTGCACTTGTCCTATCCTGAATCCTGGTAGGTTTGACTCCCTGACCAGTACATCCCCACTACATACACACAGGTTTCATTCCCACCCCTCTACTCCATCATCCCAATGAGCTGAGATTGTAGCCCAGTGCTGATTAAAAATTGCTTGCTGTTATATCACTTGGATTCCTATAGCAATCTACATCAAATTGAAATTTCATTGAGAAAAACTTGGTTCATCCTATGGTCTTTGAAAAATATTATTCTCTTTATGTAGCATGGCAACAGTCTTCCAGTTTTACCAGTCTCTGCTCCCAGAAGGAGGGAGGTGCACATTGCTCTACAATTGCATGATATATCTTTCAAAGCTAAAGCTAATTTGAATCCATAAAAACACATTTAMATCTCCATCTTGATACTGTACTGAAGTTATAATCTAAACTCAAGGGAAGATTTCTCTTTAGGAGTAACATGAATTTACATCTACAAGATTTGGAAGAAATTTTCTTATACAGTGAGAGGAGAGCTCCACAGTTTTTTCCATCTTCTTTCACTGAAATGAAGTATAACCAGTGGTGGCTAAACAGTGTGTGCAGTCTCCAGTATGGACAAGGACATGCAGATTCAGGGGTTTCTTCCACAGAGCAAAACTAAGCTCCAGCTGACACACCTTTCTTTACAACTCAAAGATATATGAGCAGTTAGGAACTAATTCAGATAAAGGGATTTCTTTCCGTAAGTCCGATACACTACTGGGAAATGGGCAATCAAAGCATTGACTCAGATTCTGAGTGCAGCACTAGGAACTAGAGGGTAGGGCTGCCTGTGAGGCCAGATCGTGCAGAAGGGTTATTCACTGTTGAGGTGTCTGCAGTCTTCTCTCCTGTCCACAGGGGTGACTGTCTGGTTTTGAAGGCAAGCTGCCATGATAGCACAGCTGTCGCAAGGAAGCCTTGTCAGGTGCAAAGGTCAGATGAATCAGCAGCATTAGGTAGGGCTCTACTGTTTAAGTGCWGTAAGACTTTGGATATTGCTGGAACACTGTAAATCTATAATCCAATAGATATAGCTGTTTTATTTTTCCGTATGGAATGGAAACACAAGCAAGAAAGCCCACATGCAGCTGCTTTAATAGGAACCTGAAGGAATGCAGTGGAAGCTGTCCAAAACTGTGCCTGCAGGGCAGCCCCGCACCTGACACCCAGCTTTGCCACTCCATTAACTTCAGAGGAGCTTCACTGATTTTCCCCTACAGATGAAAAGACAGCATTAATCACAGAATCAGTGGAGGTCTCTTAGACAACAGCAGAAGGGTGGAGATGCAACTTTCTTTAGTGGTAGTCCAGGTGTCTGACACATCAGGTGTTACTCCCATGTTACTTYCTTGCCAGCTCTCATGATTTACTCTGCAAAGCTTGGTATTGTTTTGAAAAGCAGCTGCTGGTCCCATGAGTATAAATTAGTCTCAGCCTTCATGTTGAAAAGAAGTTGTGAAGTTTGGTGCTAATAGGAAACTTGAAAAACATCTGTTGAGTGAATCTTTAGAATTCAATAATGTCAAAGAGGAAAAAAAAAGAATCCCAGATTTTTTTTTTAATTCACTGTTTTCTTTAGCTACCACATTCATTTCTGAGTGGCTTGCAATACAATATTAGCAGATTCAATCCTCTGTCACAGTAAGAGCTTATGACCTACAGGTGAATAAACCAAAAACATCTGGATGAAAAGTTAAGCTGACATAAAACAGTTTTCTGACATACAGCTATAATGGAAATCACATCTCCAAAAACATAGCGGAGATCAAAGATACACGAAAAGTAAGACAGATGTGGTTTTATTCTGTTTTACAGAGGTAAAGGGATACCAAAAGGAGACTAGGCTCTTAAAGGGTCTGACAAGAAAACTCCAAGCATTTATCAAATCTGTGGGCTATTTTCATATGAAAAATGTACTTCAGTTCCTACAAGGGGAATCCTTCCACCATCTTTGCATGCCTTCTGCTCCACACACACCCAGAGAGGCAGATTCTACTTCTGGGGGGGACACTGAGCTGAAAGATKTAAAGGCCTCAGCCATTTGCAAGGGAACATGAGCCCTTCCATGGCTGTGCCTAGCACAGGCACASAGAGGCAGAGAGCAGCCTGCCGGAGCAAAATGCACAGCCTCAAGTCCTAACTTGTGGCATCTCGGTTATTTGACTCATTTTAATTTTACAGTTCTGAAGCATTAGGTTGAAAATCTAGAAAGCCCTACACAGTCAGCAACTATGGCAATATTTGCTTGCCTCTGAGTGTGCATACCACMTTTATCTCTCCAGGGAAATGAATTTAGGAACCCTTGAAAAGTGATGTTTATGATAGCAAGATTTGACTTGGCCAAAATTAATGTCTTGTGAAGGGTGACGCTGCCACACATATATCCTGTGTTTACTTGGCAGAGGAGTGGATGTGCATGCCCAAAAACTCAGATAAAATAGGAAGCAAATTGTATTGAAATAATGAAAAGCGTGCTTGACCTTTAACTTGGAGGCACCCACCCTTTATTCTGGGCTGCAAAATGAAAACCCAAGACAACACAATCGGACTCCTTGTGGCCAGGATGGAGCGGGGTGACTGAGAGCACTGAGGGAGCCCATCTCCTGTTCCTGGTTTGCATCAGCACGTGGTGCTCCTGAGACTGGTGCCAGAAGGAGTGGGTACACGAGGGGTCTAATGCTGGCTATACCCTAAATGTGCTCCAGTAGATGCTAACCCCGGCAGGGAGCTCCTCCTGCCATGGAAAGTATTATCCTCCTTGTTATCCCCACTTATGGCACATCTGTGGCCCATTTAGACTGTTTGGATCTGTGGCAGTGTTTCTTTAGCTACTTCACGCCAAAACCTGGTTCCAAGCACTCTTTAAGTCATGTCCTGAAAGTCAAGTCCAGACCTGGATGCCTGAGTCAAGCACTTCAGCAGGGCACTGCAGGGAYGAGCTCCAGCCCCTGCTGTCATGTCTCTACAACATCTGGCAGCCGCAGAAATTAGCAGTTCTCTTCAGCATGACTGCCACTCCTCCAGGCTCTTCTAGGGTACTTGAGCCAGCACATTTAGTGTTGCATTTCATTGGGGTCTGGCAGGCCTTTGCCTCCAAAGGGCCATTGGCCACTCCKAGAAAGACTATCCTGCACTAGACTATCCTGCACTGCTCCATTCCTGGAATTTGCTGAACTCATTTCCAGACCCAGATTTATTCAGGGAGTAGTGAGGCAGATGGCTGCCAAATGAATTTAATAGCAGTTCCCAAAAGAGGTATAAAAACTTCCAGTGCAGCCCCCAGAGTTCASCTTTCATTTATATTTAGAAGCTAACCAAGTCACATTTTGTGTACTGCATCTCACTGACAGGTAGCCAGAGGGGTCATTTTTCCATAGATACAGATAGAGCTATAGATATATAGATATATGAGAGAGTCAATAGGTATAAATATTTCTTTGTGTAAGTGCTTTTTTACATGTGACTAGRTATCCAGGCTGACTGTGCAGCTCAATAGGCCTCTTAAGCATGGTACTGTGCAGYCCCTGACTGCTTTGCTGGTTTGCAGGCTTGGAGTATCTTGTGGCAGGACACGAGGACGTCCGAACGGGCAGACTCATTGTCAACATGAAAAGTTTTGTCCATCAGTGGAAGTCGTCACTTGGAAGAAAGATCTTGGAGATTTTGAAAAGAGACTGCAACTAGAGGTGTGCAACTACCTAGGGCATTTCTTTATGCACAAAATGCAACAACCTCCACAGAGAGAAGACCTCTAGCWTGAAAACTGGAATGTAAGAAAATAGTGCCAAAACATGTAGTGAGGCTTTCAGAGTTGTTGAGCTGTCTGATTTAACCCTTTCTGGCCAATGTGCTTTCACTTGCCTATAGCTTCCTTATCAGGGGTTCACCTGAGCCCTGCTCATCGTTRCGTTGAGGGAAACAAAAGGAAGGGCGGTGGATGCTTGTCTTGCTCCAGTGCAGTGTTGGAGGAACTCCCATGAAGCCACTGATCACCTGAGATTAAATTGCCACCCTGGAAGAGCTACCACTGAGACGCAAAACACTGCCAGTGCCACTAGCGTGGATCCTGAGTGACTTCCAGAGGCTCCCAGAGGATGCTGTGGGGAAGGCAATGGCCACAGTGGTGGGTAGGGGCTGGCACCAGCGTGGCAATGACACCCACTTGTTAGAAACACCCCCTTACAGGTCAGGACATGGCAACCATCAAAGAGAATTGGGTGCCACTTGCTCTTAACCTGTTTGCCCTGCTGAAGGTTTCAAGGGCTAGATTCTCTGCTGATGCTGTTGAGGACGGACTCATGCTGGAGTGAATTAATCCCTCTGCCTTGGCACAGGTATGATGCAGGACAGAGGCCAGCTCTCCACCCACTGCACGGCTGCAGGGAAGAGCTAGCTGCAGGGGGTGCAGCGGCTCTGAGCTTTTGTCCTTGCAGTGTTAAAAAATGAACCTAGCCCTAATRTAAATATTTCATTGTATAAAGCACTTTACTACCTGGCACTTCATGGTGCGGGAAGTCTAATTGTRTTGGGGAAAGAAGAGTTTGAAGGTGGCGTGTGAAAAAAACTCCCTGAAACAGAAGCACTCCTGAAGACCCCCCGCAACTGGACGGCATTAACAGTATAAAGGGAATGGCCAGCCTGGCACTGGCCACTCAGAATATCTGAGGATGCAATCTGAAAGATAAAGTATTTGCACTGAAGTCCCAGCTTCAGACCAGCACTTGGACCTCGTGGGCAGGACTCCAGCAAGACTTTGCAAACAGAGTGAGAAGAAGAGACTTTGAGATTAAAATGCAATTGCCAGAGGAGAAAAACTCTGRCTGCAGGAAAAGGAGTGGATGCAGAGAATGGAAAGGACTTGCATTCACATATCACAACCCTGCGATTCATGGTGGGCCTGGAGTTTATTTTATTTTTATATTAGTATTTAAAACTGAACATTTTATTTGTTTTCTTCTTTGTTATTGTTTGCAATATATACAGCCATTATACTTCCTCATTAACACCTGTATGAAATATAGCACAGTTTACTGCAGTTTTCAGCACTAAAATGTATCTTTTCTGTTAAGTATCTTTAAACCACATTGCATAGAGTGTATTTTGTTCGTGAGTGTGAAGGGAAAGAAGACATACAACATCAGAAAAGTCACAAGTCTACCAATCCACTTTATGTATGTATTTTTCTTTCAAGGTCCTGTGGACTCACAAAAAAAGATACTATTTTGGTAATTTGTTTYTGTATCTCATGTATGTAATAAATAATAAATATAATATGATTTCTTCTCTGTGACCACTTATACCAATGGCAGTAGGGTCTTCATGCCTGCACTGCAGGCATCAAAAAAGAGAGCACAGTAAATATTGCACTGGGTGAGGGGAAGCTGCAATGAGGGATATTTCTCTCTCTGGTTGGGAGGGGGGTAAAATTCAACCCCTGGTAAAAACTGAAGTAGCATGGATGGCTCACAAAAATCTCATTTCAACTCTTGTTTTGGGAGGTTTATAAGCTGGCCAGATCCTTGCCTCCACACAAGCCTGAAGGCTGAGCTGCAGAGCAGGCACTTATGAGAAGCATGTCACAAATGGCAGAAATAAGGTTTGTTCCATACATTTGAAACTACTAAGGGGAAAGAAAAGGCTGTGGTAAACAAGTGCTATAAAAACACTGCAGAGTGAAGTCAAGCATCAGAAATTAGTGGCCGGGGGTTAAGACATAATCGGCAGTGTGGTCAGCAGCTCCCTGGGTGGGCGGTTAATGAGTGACTGCCAGGCACCCTGCTGAGGCAGCACCCATCTCCCTGGTGGAGGACAGCGCAGGAACAGCTCTCCTATGGAGGCAATCAGACACAAACAGCCTCCAGTAGCTCTGCTTTGTTTTAAAACTGAGTGGTAAGGTGTGCTTGGGCTGGAAGAGGCAAAGCCAGGTGTGTTGAAACCAGCTGCCACCAGTGCACGCCCTCCAGCACAGCAACATATGATCCAAACCTGTATTCCTCCAAGGCACTCACAAGACATCCCTTTCACTCTCTCTTGTGGACRTAAGCACTCCACTCGCTGGCACATGAGCTCTCAGCAGATGCTTTGGCACCCTTTGGAGAAGGGAACACCTGGCTCAACTAGTTTTCAAAGCYGCCTTGCACTCTCCAAGGCAAATCCTGTGCCATAAACATTGTCAGGACCAGGCACTGAACCAAACACACACTGCTGTGTGAGTCAAGCATTCTCCACTGTCCTCTGCCACCACTGCTACCTGTGGAAGAAAGCACAATCGGCCACACAGATCTGTCCATTGGATTTTGCTAATCTTAAGCTGGGTTCTTTTGGAGGAGGCTGTACTCAGAGACACCCCACATCCTCCGAGAGGTGGCTTTACATACCCTGCTCACCAGCAGCTGCAAGCAGAGTGAGCCTCCTCAGCTGCGCAGGGCCTCTGTCATGGGTACCTCTGCCATTCCTCAGGAAACAAGAAGTGCTTAGCTGAAACATCTGCTTTTATTCTGTTGAAGACCATTTTCCTCTTTGTATCACCTCAACAGACACTAACTATGCCTACAGGCTGTGAGTGCAAGGAGGGACAGTGGAGAAGCCACCTGCAGCCCCAGCCACATCCATCCCTGCAGCCCCAGCTGGCCATGGATCCCCAGCAAGCACGGCCCCCCTCTCCTAGGATGTGCTACTGATGGGAGCTGCCTCATCCCAGACCAAGCCCTGTTGGGCTGCAGAAGTGCTGTGCCCTTCTGCCAGGCTGAGAGTCTGGAGAGGACTCAGGGCTGTGCTGCCTGCATGTGCACAGGGCCTGTCCAGTCAGTAATTGCTCACCCATGAGGAATGCAATCTTCCCATGACAGTGGAAAATTACAGGCATGTTTCGTATAGTTGCTCCAGCAGGCTGAATCTTCTGGGATATGACCATGTTGCTGAAAATTACTGAACATCTGGGACTAGAGGACTGCCTAAATGGAAAGCTGGGCTGGTATGGGTAAACATAACAACTCGGGAACAAATAGCTGCAGTGTATTTTTTTTTTTTAATCTTTATTTTTAGTTATTGTATTGACTTCAATATCAACACAGGATAGAATAAACATCTCAAAAATGTCCGGTGGCTGCTGCCTCAGCATCCACTGGAGCTCTCTGATAAGGCTGGAGGGGATCAACCGTCTGTGGGCCTTCTGAGCTGATGTGTTGAATTTTTGATGACAGTTTCCAAAGCATGCTCTTACCCAGGGGYCACAGCTTCTTGCCTCCCTTTTCCCACAGTTCAGCATAGAAACTTCATGAATAACTTTTATTGCTTCAAGGGAAGGCAATGATGCCTCTGCAARGCTCAAAGGCTGGGAAATACACTATATATGGGAAACTTGTTGGCATATTGAAAATGTTAGCATGACCAGTGTGCTGCAGCAGGCATTGGGAGAGCCACACTCTGTGACTAGCTCAGCTCCTCACATCTCCATCACTCTTAGGGGTCCTTTGGAGCAAAAATAATGCTGGGTTGCCTGTACATGTGATGTATCACTGGTGTGATGCACTCATGAGTACACAAACCCCATGGATGCTTGTAGCCCAGAAAAATGTCATCACGCCCAAGCTTTGTTAYGATGCAATATGCAGTTGAAGGTACCTCCAAGCACTACCTGACTCTTTCTCAGATGTAAAAGATATGTAAAATAAGTTTGTGATGCTGCTGAAAGGTCTAGGGTGCTGTGGGCATGGATGAAGGTGCTCATTGCTTCATTTCCCAGATGGTGCTTTCTCTGCTCACGTCTCTGGGCTCTCCCTGACCAGGCAGGTTGCTCATACTGACAGCATTTCTTTCTTTGACTTCTTATGTCAAACTTACACATAGAAATAAAATACCTATGTAGCACAGGACATGTTTTTAAGCCATCTGGAAATCAGGGCTGGCAAAAGGCCCTCAGATCTGTATGAAAATTGCTGAGAAGAATGAAGTTGCTTCCTAAAGCAAACATTAGTGAAATTTCTCTAAATTGACTTGCTGTGGACATAGATAAGCACCCCTTCTAGCAGGCGCAAAATGCAGCCCAGCTCCAGGCTCAGGACACATGCTGAGGTACAGAAACAGGGGAAAAATAACAAAACCAAACAGCCATCCATTAGGCTGGTACTAACTTGGCAGGAAAAGTCTTTCCTCACTGCATTTCCTGTTGCAGATTCACAGACAAGATCTCTGCCTGGATCAGTAGGAGATATTTCTCACACCATAACCTCAAGAAGCATACCTGCAAAAAACATGTTTGCTCTCTGTCTCTGCTCTTCATCGAAGCTTCCCTTGATGTGTATCACATGCAACTCATGTCTGGACCTCAAGCATTTGTGAAGCCTCTGTGTGGTCAAATCTGCTGCATAACCTCTGCTTGGGCTTTACCTGAGCAGCACCTGCAGGAGATCAGAAAACATTATTTCAGGTACACAAAAAGGACTAGGGTTTCACCTCACCTAACTTGAGATGATGTGGCAGATGGCAGTCAGGTTGGGATGCCTTGATGCCCCCTGAGTTGCAGAAGAGACTCAGGAGCACCCTGAGGAGTCATCAGAGCTGCCCAACTGCCCCACAGGGGAGTGTGAGGGGGCAGGAAGATGCACAGGAACTTCTGTGGCGTGAGGAGCATCACCAAGATGCTCTTGGCATAGGAGCAGGGGATTAAACCCATGCTAAATAGGGGCAGCGAAGTTAAACAACAGAGGTCCAAGCAGGGAGGGACACTGCCACCTCTGCAGCTCTGGGCACATCCAGGGACAAGGGACCCCAGTCACAGGAGATGGGAAGCTTCAACATTCGCCCCAGGCACGCACGGCTGCCTGGACCTGATCAGCCTCTTTCAACAAGAGGCTGTTTCTTGACTGGCAAAGCAGGTCTTGAAAAGGCCCCCAGAGCTGCTGGTGCGACTGGAACAGGGAGGCGGATTCAAGGAAGCCTGAACCTGGGCATGGCAACACATGCAGCCTGCGATCACCGCAGGGGGTTGAAAATGCTCACGTGGAACTGTGTGCGCAAAATAAAAGTGCCCAGAGCCACTCTGCGGTGCGAGCAATCCCTGTCTGTGCCACCAAGCACCTCTGACACAGACGTTTTGGGAAAGACACTGCCCCTGGACAGCCCCCAGGCCAGGGGGTCCGGAGGCAATGAAGTGATGCAGACTGTGCCAGGAGCCAGGCTGGCAGCTCTGCGGTAAAGATTATCACCTTCCAGTGCCCGGAGGAGTTCCCGAAAGCGATGGCGTTTATTCGCATTTCTGTACCTCCGCAGAAGCAGCACATCCTGCCCCRTGACTTGGCCCCGGCCGCAGCCAACATCTACAAAGGCAGGAGGAAAAAAACAACAACAAGAAAACAGGAGCCAAGTTATGCGGCAGAGGGGGAATAAAAATATTTCCCCGGTCGCGGCGGGTGATCGGCAGAAACCCCGAAAGTCACTGTAAATACAATGTACCGCGGCTCGGACAAACAGCCGGCCTTGGCGCTCCGAGGAGCAGCCCCGGCGGCAGCCCTCCGGGGACAGGGACAGTGGCGGTGCCGGTGGGACGGGCCAGCACTCCCCGTCCTGCTCCGGGACATAAACAGGACGCCCCACCTCTGGCTGATACYATCAGCTGGACAAGGCAGAAAAGGGAAGAGGCCGGGCCCCCGCTGCGCCCCGGTCACCTCTAAAATGACAAAGCATTATTGCAAATGACAAAATACAGCCATCATTGCAAAGAGCTTTGGCACCGACAGGCAAGAAGAGACGATCCGTGGGTCTTCTGCCGCAGACTGAGTGGGCTCTGCTCCCTTGCCTWTGCTCCGTGCTGGTGACTCCTGAGCACATTAAAAGCAGTAACAACTGAATTCTTCTGAGCAAAAAGCACGATGCTCACCTACTGAGCATCGGTAGGTGGGTTGCCTAAAGAAGGAAACCATGAGAATTTTTTCCACCCACAGCACTATTACAAAGCTGACAAAGTCCTGCTCTCTGCAATTCCCATTAACCTTATTGCCTGACCTTCAAGATTTATGACAGCCTTCTCTAACATTCATGGGGCAGACAGGTATTGTTACATGCCGGCATAACCCAGGTAGCAGCCAYGGGTTGTTCTCCACAAATGACTGCACTCCAGTCAGCTTTGGAAAACTCCCTGCTTTCGTACAGGGAAAAACTAAATAAATGAGGTTCACTTTAAATTCCAGTCTCCCTTTCCACCCTCAGGGAAACATAACACATGCCACAGAACAGAAATCACTGCTCATTCTTCAAACAACAGGCAAGCTTAAATCCTTAGAAATCTTTGAATACCCAG